TTCTACATGTTACTATGGTAATATATATATATATATATATATATATATATATATAAAATAAAGTAATGGAAAAATATTAAGGGCAGGCACAGAGGAAGCTCATGAAAAAAGGCTACTACAGAATAAAGTGATACTCTGTGGTATGCTTGTATGATGTGTTGAAGGCTGGAGAAATGCAGGTTTTTTGTGTCAAGGCTGAAGATTGCTCCATTACCGCAGTGACAAATTAGCTAATTACAGGAAGAAAATACAGAAGTTGCTAGAGTGAGTCATAAAATGTAAATTTTAAAATAAAGTTTTAGAAAAAAAAAAATCTCATCCTGCTCAAAATTCACTATGGAAGATTCTGCTGAGTAGAGCTTGTTAGTGACCGCCATGATCGGCACTGAGCATTACAAACTCTGTTTATGTAACAGCTCAAAAGTTTACACTTTCAACATTAAAAATCAGCTTCCTGAGGGGAAACTGAGCGTTAAACACAAACATTCACCCTCTCAAGGGAGCTGGCTAGAAGTAGGCAGATCTCTGATTTATTTATGGGGTACACTGCTTTTGCATCACAGTGTTTAGGGATATTAATAATGCATTATTGAGAAAGTCAGCAGTGATGTTGAATACATACACACATATACACTCACTACCAGGGAGTTTACAATTAATCAGCTATAAACATTACCAAACTTTAAATGTTTCTTACTTTTACTTTGCAAGGAAACTGATTCATACACCAAACTTAAGGATTTTCTACGTCCAATAACCCACTTTTCCTGCTGCCACACACATCCATCTACACCTTTCTATTGTTGTTGGGAAGTGATAAAATAATGATTAGCTGTCCTGTTTGCTTTGGCTTCATTCAAACAGTTCCACTTAAACAGACTGGATGTGGCCCGTAATCTTGACTGCATTCAAGTGCACAGCTGTTTACCTGGATGGATTCAATTAATCTTTTTTTCTTGAAGTCCCCCAAACTTTTTTTTTTGCTCAATTGTAATAAGAGAGTGAAAAGAGCGCACCAATAGAACAAGCAGAGGCAGACTCTTAAAAGGTAAACACATCGTCACACTTCACATCTGATCAGAGCTGGAATGTAAATAAGAAAATTATTCAAATTCTGTACTTAAGTACAATTTGTAGGTACTTATTTTATGCTACTTTATAATTCTACTCCACTGTATTTCAGAGGGGAATATTGAACTTTATGAACAGCTTTATGTGCTATGTACATTGTATATTGAGATTTTACAAACATAAAATCCGGTGCATTATTATGGATTATGGGTTAAACTACCGTATGCATAGTGGTTAAACTTCAACAATAAAATGCTACTTACACATTAATGCATCAGTCAAAATGATTCCATATTAATATATAATAATATAAGACTCACAGTAAAACTAGTAATTAAAATTTATAAATGAAGGGCTGGAGCTTTCCTTTAAGAAATATTGCCTGTTTATATTCTTTGTATAAATGCATTCTGAAAGAAGTTGAAGACTAGGAGGGATAAAGTAATGAAGTCTTTGATAAAGGTTGTATCATCTTAAATTTGTGGGATGTTGTTGTTAGCCTGCTAGCTCCAACATCTTATTTTGCTCTTCTGTCCACATTATTCTCAATCATGCCTGCTTTCTACGTGCAAGTACATCTCGCCCTGCCAGTTCTGCTCTGTACACAGCTTAAAACTAAGCCCCAACAAGATTGAACAAACGGCAAGAAAATTGCTTTACTTCCCTACATTTCATATTTTTTATGCATTTATAATGAAAATGTTTTGGCAATACAGTCTTCATCAGCATAATGAATGCAGTGATGAGAGCCATATAACAAACCAGAAAAACATGTTCATGGTGAACCCAATTTTTAACTAATTTCAGCTAATTTTTTTATGGGAAAGAGCAGACTGTCCTCAGTTTAATTGAAAAAAACAAAACAAACACTGTCACCAGTCTCTCCTATTCATGAAGTTTTGTGGAGTGGAGACACAAGAGGAGCTTGAATTTTTAAGAAAACAGTAATCCTCTTTATTCTCACCTTAGGCTCAGCTGGAACCAATCTAGCTATATTGCCCTATCCGCCCCTGTCCCTATGGACGAACAGAGCTGATATCCCATTCGATACGCTGTATACACGGCTGTCTCAATGCCAGAGGGGAGTGGCTGTCATTGCACTCACCTTTCCCAGTTATTACATGCTCAGTGGAAGAAATCTTCTCACTTTCTCTTTCTCTCTCTAACTTCTCCCTTGCTGTCTGTCTCCTCAAATCTCGCTCCTTCTCCTTCCCTCTGTCACTCCATTCGAAAGGTTTCTCCCTGATAATACTTCACTGTCAAATCCAGTCAGAAGGCTGCTGGGAACTTAAGCTCTGTAGTGTTACACCAACTGGGACAAGACATCTTAGGTGAATAACTCGCAAGGAGTAAGTGCTACATTAAAGCACATACTGTATGTGTGCAGGATTGTGTATGTGGTAAGTTTTCATGAGTGCACCAGGCACTATGAGAGGTGCCTGAGAATGAGCGTGAGAGTTTGTGTGACAAGTGTCGACATTTGCCTCATGTAAGTGCTTGCGTCATTATACACAAAGACGCCTTTGGGGGAAAAAAAAAAAGAGTTTGGCCACAAAGAGACAAAGCAAGCTTTTGACTGGTAGCCATGGCAACAGAGGAGAGACAGATAAAGGGCTGCCAAGAAAAGCCACGTTTAGATTACAGCATAAAACACTTCCGTTTAATCTTACACGGCTGTCGTTTGCAGTCTCTCCCATGATAACAGAGAGGTGATGCAGGGGAATAGAAATGACTGTAGGATGAATCATTAAAAGTTGGCTTCCATGACGTAAATAGCCACAGGTAGGTGTGTGTCTGCGATTGAAAATGAGAACAAAAACTATAGAGGGAGAGAGACAGAGACAAAGTCTAGGAGGCCATTTAGGAGCGTGCCTGGAGTGACAGCAAGAGGAAAAACAGTGACAACACATTTTGCCAGGTGCTAGGGGGCATGTTGATACATTGCTGTTTGATGGAGAGAGGAAAAAGCAACATAAATACAGAGAAATAGTAGTGCGAGTGCACAAATGAATGAATATATAGGTGTGCGTACGTGTGAGTGTGCGATAAGTCGACTAAATGTATATTTGTATAGGATACATGCTGGGCAGCAGTATTCAAGGACACTTCTTTGGTGCACTCATCTGTGTGATAATATCTGCTGAATCCCTCGCTGCTGGTCATGTCGTACGCATCTGTGTGCGCGTGTCAGAAAGAGAGAGAGCAGTAGAGAGACCAAGCAAGTGTGTATGTGTGTGTGTGTGTGTGTGTTTGAGCATCTTATGTACTCACAAGATATTTCTCCAGAGGTTCTGTCAGTAATGCGTCTCCAAATATTGACCGGCAGTACTCTGCCATCTTAGCCTGCTGCTTTGGTCTGGGAGTCATCACACACAAAAAAACATACACACACCATCACACACCATCTACAAAATATCAATACATGCTGAATACGTATGTTACTCCTATGAAGCCCCTTGGAGCAATTAAAAGATAAAACAACCAATGAGAACTTTCTCCTTGAAGCTATGTAGATGTTTACACAGATGTTTTACACATAGAGACAAAGTAGCTGATTGGGACTATTGATGGTAGTATTGATCAATGAGGGTGACAATCATACTCTACACTTTGCAGCCTTGATTTGAAATGACCTGCTGACTTACGAGTCCACGTGGTTCTCAAAAGACAGGATGATGGGGAAGGGCGAGGTCTTGAAGGCACTCTCTGCTATAGCCTCGATCACCTCCTACAAACACAAACAAAAAAGAAAAATGATGGATAATATAACCATAAATTTTGTTAAATACACACACCTAGTGCAGAACGTTGTTATTATGATTTGAGTGATGTAACACACATTAAAAACAATTAATGTCACATGGTTTATGTGATAATATGCTGCAGTCACGATAAAATAAAGCATTTCAAAACACACTAAAGCTTGTATTGCAGCCAGAATCATATCCATTTACAATGATGTGATTTCCTATATTTCCTAGAATGCCTGAGAGTCTCCCCCAGAGGACATACCCGAACCTGTTGAAATCGATATCTTTAGAAGAGCAAGAGTAATAAGATAGGAAGATAGTTTTTCAGTAGTACAAAAAATAAATTACACTCCGCCTGACTCCAAATGCAAGATGTTGTCTGGCTGTATAGCATTGTGGTGTATTGTGGCTACTGATGCTGGAAGAAATATGTGGCTGTGTGTATCAAATGCTTGTATCAGTGTGTGCGGGATGTCAACATGATGGTACATTTTCTGGTTGATAATGTGAAAGAAAATTCTGTAAAGTATGTGCTCATGTCCCATATGGATATGTTTATGGAAATGGGAGCTGAGCCACTGCATAACTATAACAAAGGCGGTTCAACATCTGATATCGGATTTCTAAGCCACTGATTGTCCGTTACAGTTATCATTAACAACAGTGTCAGCTCAGTTAATGCCTTCATTTCCACTTGCTCAATCTCCTCCAATAAAAATCTTGGTCTGTAACTCAACCCGCTCCATCTGTAGCTCTCTTCCATCCTGTCTTTCACAACTCTCTTTTGTATTTCACTCTCAGACTAATTCCATTAAGCTTTTTCTTCTTCTTTTGTTACTCTCATTAGAAATAAATGTTCTCTATCAATCAATCCACCCTCCACTCTGTTTCTTTTTCTCCTGACACCTACTCTGCCCTTAGATTTTCACACCCTCCTTCTCCTATTATAAATGCATTTTTTCTCTTTGTCTTCCTACTGTTTGAGACTTCAAATCCGCACCCCTCAGCGCTTCAGTTTAGGGCCATTGAGCGTGTCCCTGTCCCTGACAATTTGCCATCTGCTGCATGCATGGCCCCCTTTTTGTTTTTCCCATTTTCCCTTCTTATCCAACTCTGCTCCCCTTCATATTTACTTTTATGTTCTGTCTCTGACTCTGTATCAGTCTATTTTTCAGTCTGTGTGTTTTATTCCCTACTGTACTGATACAATGATATTCAAAGGTTATAATTATTAAAATCTTCATGAAATCAAACCACATTCCTGATACTATTTCTGGTTGGCATTTTTTCTGCAATAGCCATTCACTGTCTTTACATTCAATTATTTCCTCTCTATACAGTAGTTTTTATAGGCAGTGGCAGAGTGTGCCATTTCTACCAAAGCAGGAGGGATTCACATGAATGCCTGCATGTAATCTAGTGCAATTTTATCTCAATAACAGCCTCACTGTTTACTCTCTTTAGTGTCACAGCTATATCAAGTAAATGTAAATGCAAAGGGAACATTTCCTACTACCACTGGTTCATATTAAAAGTGTTTAACAAGCAAAACATTGGGTGGGTTTTTGTGAAGCAGTGAAATAAAATTCAATTTGACTGAAATCAGATCGCAGTTGCTATTATTACTGACTGACTTCTTTATTAAAACAATAAGAGTTTGTTTTGATGCACTGTAAACAGATACATCACTTGTTGATTTCCTTTCTGAAAACATAGATGCTCAAATGGCTGTTTGCTTTAGCATTAAACTTGCTGTTACCACCAGAAATCACTTGCCCGATATAAACCAGGACTGAAATCTCATGGATTACAATCTTGAAGCCACAAATAACATATACAATTAACAATCTTAAGTATGAAGATACAAATGAAAGCATATGCAGCTACTGGACCTTTCTTGCATTTTGGTGCAATAGTGCATATTTTTGAAGATCCAGATGTTCACATAGCTGGCTGCTAACACACTTGCACACAACCTTCAAGTGTGCACTATGGTTTACTGAATACACTGGAAATAAAGATGAAGTCCAGCAACAGAAACCCATTTTAACCCTAAAATATCTAGACACACAAACTAACTAAAATATAGAAGGTTGTAGGTGTTGGCCCAACCCAAATACCAATCTCTAATGCAGTGAGTGCATTGTGTGTATAGTAAGTGGATGACATCACTTGTCTGCAAGGTCTACTTACCCAGATACCCCCTCTCTGTGTGTCTGTAGACAAGGACATGTATCTACACACAAAGATGTTTCAGCCTGTACTCCCCAACCCTCACCCCCTACCCAACCCTCTGGCCTGTATCATTATCACTCTGTTCTCCTTCTGTTACCTTGAAGGAGATTTCAGTTGTCATGGTGAAGCCGTGAGTGATGACAGGCTCTTCTTCTGTGGTGCGACCCTTCCAGCAGTCCAGCTCAATGCAGCGGCATCCTGACAAGAGGACCTGCTTGTACATCTCGACTGAGGAGTTCCCCGCGAGCTGACCGGCTGGATTCCGCACAAAACACACAAGCAAACACACATTATCAGCACGTCAGGTAACTGTTATAGTGATCCCAAAAGTATCAGGATACCTATAAACCCACGTTTCAAGAGCTCATTAACAGCATTAGTTGCTAGCGTGCAGTAAAAACAATAAAACCGACGTTCTGAGGCAGGCAAATCTCATCACCCTGTCACCATTAGCCAAGCAATTATCTCTTCACATTAGCAGCACGCTTTCCTGCAACAAGCTGGGAACTGTGTCAAAGTAAGAGGCTGATCTGTTTGTTCACTTAAGGTGGCATCCTTTATTTCCCTTTTTTTTACTAAATGAGTTCAGGTGTTGTACACTGCATAAAACACTGCTCTAATTTACCACAAATCAATAGGATGGAAATACATCAACATGTGAAAATAAGTTGCACAAGCAGCTCTCAGTCTAATTATCTTGTGTGGGTCTTTCTTTTAAGTTGTAAAACATAAATACTGGGACAGAAATGCCCTGTCATCTCTGTTGCCTGTAATAATACCATCAAAATGTGTCACATTGAAAACACATAGATAAAAACAGTTCGTGAGGAGAGAATCAAGGACCTGTTGTTTGTTTTTCTCATTTCCTCATTTCGCAGGCTATGAGGCTGGCCTATTACACATATTCCATTTTTTCCATTGCTGGAGAAATTTGATCCACTTGAAAGATTCAATGCTCTCTAGTTACCCCCAGAATAGATTTGAATAGATGAATTCTAATAACCATTGAAGAGAAAATGGCCTATGTATTGTGCCTGCCATGCTTGTGCACTGCCAAGAGCCAGTTACTGTGACTACCAGTCTAAAGAAATATTTAACTCATGAATATCAATGAATTGAGTCTCGTGCCATGACTTGATTGGATAACCTCTTCAGAGGTAACGCAGGAAGGATGGCCTCGTATGCACTGGTGCGTTTGATTGACTGACCTGCGGGGTATAAAGCAGGGTGTATTCACCTGTACAACCATAATTGTATTTCTAAATGAACGAGTGATTAGTTCATGTTTGGAAAAATAAAGGATGTGCATGTGCAATCAGTGGGTGGTAGTGCAAACTAGACAGAGAGACAGACAGAATTTGCATACAGAACAGACTTTTGCCTCCATTTATGAGCGTACCTGTGAGGTATGTGTTGTGCGAGGAGTTGATGAAATAGTGGGACAGAGGAAGGGTCATGTCTTCGCTCTGGTCCAGCTTCTCAGGGGGGATGATGCTGTTCTCCTCCCCATTCAGATACCTGGTAAAGCCTTCCATTGAGATCTGACCTGCACGCACACAACAGAGCATGTCATTATTATTCTTCTGACATGTTAAAATGTCAAAATGTGGGTAATTCATGGCTGGAAATAGTCTCCAAAAATGCATGATTTACTCTTGCTTTGTAATGTTTTTGAATAACTATAGTGCCTTGCGGTTTTCGAAGATTATCTAGCCGTCTTGAAAGATTGAAATCTGTGAAAAGAAAGTAAAAGGGCTCGGGGCTGAGTGTCGCAGTAAGGGTGGAGTTGTAAAGTCATATAATCGATGTTGGTTGTGATCAATTTTTGATTTTGACAACAACACACATACAGAATATCTCCAGGCTTAACCTTTAAACATGGCATGTGGAGATCCACGAATACCTGTTTTTTTTTTAAACTTTTTTCTCTTTTATAATTTCTTGCATGAAATATGTCTTTTAAGCCTTTAAAGTGTCTGTTTGGGTGTTTATGTGTACACTATATTGCTTACATATTCAGAAGGTGTATTAAAAGAGCAGTAGGAAGAAAGAAATGTTCATAATCACTAATTCAAATTGAGATTACATTAGTAGTTAATTTTGCCCAAAATCCTAATTTGCTGTTTGTCTTTGTGGTTTATCCTTAAAGCCTGTGCCTCAGCGGTCCAGTTTCTTACATTTTACTGTGGGTGTATACTATCAGTTATAAGCCTTCATTAGAAATATTAAAAGGTGTCTGGTTTACAATACAATCATGATTTTCTATATTTCAGACTCCACAAGCTTCCTCTAGGGATTCACACAGGGATCTGAAAATGCACAACTGCCCTTGACGTTGACAAGGTCACTTATGTTAATCTTTGCCTTTTTACTGCCGTCACTGAGCTCAAGTCTTTGCTGAATTTGCTGAAGAAAGTGAATAACGATGAATAAATAAGTAATAAGCAGCAGAAGAAAAGCTCACATCTCCAGTCATCCAGACACGAGATTAAAATTTCCATACACATTACCATACACATCACACACCACCACACCTGGATTAAATTTTGTAAAATGTATAACAAGTGCTCAAGGCGAAACCACAGCACTTGCAACCTCCTCCACCCACATACACAATCACGCACACTCACTTGACGTTATGCTAAATATGCTAAATGATGCAAGCTAGACGGGTGCAGCAGGTCCCTCTGGCCACTTTATGCTAATTAATGCGGTGCCGCCCTCTGCAGAGTTGCTGGACTAATTAAGGCTGGCTGCTGTCTGTGACATGTGAGCTTAGTCGCACTCAGCGTCTTGCTCCCTACTGACTGCCAGGACCGCCGTTTCCCAGGCTGAGGCCTAACCTCTGTGCCACTCACACTCACACAGACATAGACACAGAGTATCCCCAGTTCCCAAGACATCTGTAGGTCGAACAGGGAAAAATGGTGTTAACATAGCTGGGATAAGAGGTGTATTCAAGTGATAACCTACAGGTGTTATTTTGAAGGTGATGCCTAAAGGGGGAAGTTAGATCTGAAAGGATGGGAGTGTGAAAAGATACCTTCAAGTTAGATTAAAAAAACCTTGGCTTTTGGCTACAATAAAAAATTACTCTGATGAGCTGCAGTGTAAATATATTCTTAAGTTAATGATCTGTAAGACAAGAGTGGCCACAAACTGACAGAGAGCTTCCTCTCTACAATCACCGAAGATGAATATGCAATGATGTGCCTTCATCCACTCTGATGTAACAGACTTTAAGTGTCTTGTTTCATTTAGCATTTTATTCATCTGCATTCAAACAACACCGGAATGTTTGAGCGAGCACAGACTAAAGTAGTCAAAGACAATGACAGAGCACTGAAGAGATGAATGAAAGGTATAATATCCCCAAACTCAGAGAGAAAGAGCGACAGAGCGAGAATGAAAGTAGCTACTTTTACTATCCATTATCTCCCATTGTGGCATATGTATTTATGCGTACTTACTGTCTACATGCATTCACATGATATTTTTTCAGTTCAATCTAAAAGCACAAAGTACGCACACAGCCACCCATATGCATTTCTATATGCCTGCATGAGTGTCCTTGAGAGAGGAAAAAGTGTGTGTATGTGTGTGAAGGTAGCATGTGGAGCTCTGGACCCCTCTGCAGAGCAGATGGCAGCACTTCCTCCAGCTAAATAAATACTTCACATGGGGAAATCTGTCACTGGGACAGAGAAGGGCACACTTCCACAGAGTCTGGGACAGGCTGAAACCACAACTTCACAGTACGAGTACATCACTGTGATCAGAGTCAAACACAGGGTGGTCAAGTCACCTGTGACTCATTTTGTCAAACATTTTTGAAAGAAAAGTAAAGTAAATGCTTTACTCAGGGTCAGAGTCTATTAAAGCCACAGTCTTGCTCTGTTTGAGTCATTTAAGGTCAATTTAGTTTCAGTGCAATCAGTAACAAAACGTGCAAATGTGATTGGCATAACAATGATTTACTGAACAGGTTTTTAGATAAACAGCCTCTTCTGGCAACATAGATTAGCATTTTTTAAACTCAATTTACTAATAGCCTCCAGACTATTAATTTGTTCTCATAATACTTTTAAATATATTCAACCATGTATTAAACTTCAGAGCTGCAGAATAGTGACCAAAGCTTTTGATGACCAGTAATCAATGTCATGTAATCAATACCCCATTGGTTCAAACGTTTGTGTACACAGATCTAATCTTTAGCTCAAGTTCCTAGATATACAAGTTCCCAAATGAACAGTGTGAGAGGTCCTGACTACAAACCTTTATTACAGTTTTTGGTGCTTTCTAGGTCATGAAGGAAAAAATAAACTGACACTGGGTAAATATCACGTATAAACTAGTTGTAGTAGTGTTTTCCAGATGGTTTAATATGGTTTAATTAATTTAGTATCCAGTTATTTGCTTGAGAAAAACAGAACATGGTGTAAAGTAAGTCCCGATTTTGGAAACCTTGTGTAACCTGCTTTCCAGCAGAGATAAAATTTGAATTGGCACATATCCGACCTTGATGTCTGATAGCTGAAGTGGGATGTTCTCCAGTTTTGTAAGCTCTCTTGCCACTGACACTTCAGACAACATGAAAGCACGTCCAGGAGTGTTGGCTCCCCTACGCTCATCCATCTTGGATGCTCATAAATTATTCTGTGCCACCCCTGATGCTGTAATACTACAACTAAAACTGCTTGTTTATTTAATTTTGCACATGTGCAGTATTGTTATGTGGATGGTGGATATAATTTTTATTCATTTACTGTTTGTTTGGATATTAAGTACTGTTAAGTGGCTGTGACACATACAAATGGACAAAACACAAACATATGTGTTGTCCAAGGTACAATGAGCAAACTGGGAAGCACATGTAATAATAAGACGCAGAATACATAAACGTACTGCAAAGACAGCAAAACTACAAGTTGCCAAACTGCTACTGGTTGCCTGGCAACAGCTCCCAGACAAGAAATAGTCCAGTACATAACACCCCATGAAAAGGCAAATTGTTGTTGATACACTTACAAAAACAAATGACATATAACATCTTAACTAGAGAGCTTTAGATGTGCAGGTAGGCAAGTTTTGTTACCCTTGGACAGGGCCAGGCTAGTAGTGTCCCCCTGTATCCTATCAAACATCTCCTCCAACTGTCCGCCAGAAAGTGAAGAAGCATATTTTGAAGGGATGTTTGTTAAATGTGTGAGTTTCACTCATTTGTGAGAAGTATGCAATAGTGTAAATGTCTGTTTCTGTATATTTTTATTTAAATCTGGCTCAAGTTTTTCCTCTCTTTTTTTTTTTAGTAACTTGAAAATTAAGAAATTACATTCATTATTTTTGTTTTTAAAAGTTGCCTCTTGTATTAAAACTATTCTAAATGAGGTAAGGGTCACACATTTCCATCTATGGTTCTCTATGGTTAAGTTGCAAAGAACTGAGCTCTCTAAGCCACCATAACTACATAACTAAATTGCTGGGTCTGGTCTGCACATTTTATGGATCAGATATGTTTTTTTTCTTAGTAAGAGACAAAATGAAGATTTGTGAATTACACTAAGGAGAAAAGTAAAGAGCAGTAAAATACTATGATAAATGAAATTAATGTGTATGACCCCCTAACAGTGTTTGTGTACAAGTTAACATATTTGAATGTACATTCGCGTGCTACATAAGTTCTCTCTGCACTGCACTTGCCACTTGCTATTTGCTAAAGCTCTCCTGAAGCACAAACACACACTAGCAACCTTCCCTTGCTCTAAATTTCACTCTCTCTCTTTCATACACACTCTATCTCTACTTAAGGATTCTACTCTATTCTTGTAAATAAAATGGCAGGGAATATCCTCAGAGAAACTTGTCAGTGTTTGGAGTGTGTGTAACCTTTTTGGTGGTGGTGTGTGTGTGTGTGGTATTTACAGACTTCTAACATTCCGTTCCATGGCACCCCACTACGTCCCCTCGTTGCTATGGCAACACCCCAGCCACATTTATTGGTGGTGTGGCTGTAGCAGAGGGTTAGTAGGCTTGGGTATATCTGGGTCAATTGTATAAAAGTGTTTGTTTGTGCTTTCCACTTCTTTTGGTTACATCAAGTCTATTAATCATGAAAAATTACTGTATGGACATTATTTTATGTATAAAAAGTCTTATGTGTGTTTATGTGAACATACAAGCATAATAACTGTGCCTGTGTTTGTTTTGTAGAGACATCTGAGCCACTGACCTTTCTGTGCCAACGAAGCATTAGGCTCATATTTGTCCACCAGCACCTGGACCTGCTCTGGTTTGAGAGGAGGGTAGAGTATCTCATTCAGACGAGGGTCTCGCTGTTTATTGTTAATAAACTCTGTCATCTGCTCCACACTGAGGTACGGACGACTCTTAGCCCCCCTAAGGAAAGAGGAGAGGATTGGGTGAGTAGTGGGAATACAAAAAGGGAAAAGTGGAGGAAAACATGGGGGGTTACTAAGCAAGAGTTGTGCACAAGAACAGAAATAAAAAATTGAGATATGAGAAAATTAAATGAGGAGAAGATGATGGAGGGGAGGAGCAGTAATTAAAACGACAGCAAAGAGATGTGGAGAGGGAGAGCAACAGAAGCGCAAAGGAGCAGAGGATTAAATGTTGTGCTGAGTAAATTATGAGATTTGATTAAAACGCCTTTCATATCTAAGCCTGTTCCACTAAATTATCATCTCCATATCCTCCTGGCTCTCATGCCTTCTCACTTAACTGTGATTAAAATCTATGACTTGGAGTGGCCCCGGTCGTGCTGGCATACTGCCTCAGCCGATGGTCTGAGTCCCTTTGGGCCAAAGGGCAGCTCTGCTTCTGCAGCACAAAGGGCCATGCAGCCAGACTCGAGGAGTCACAATCATAGCCATTATAGCACACTTTCCTTTATTAATTAACTGTTTATGATGACTCTAGTGAGTAAAAGCAAAGCCCTATCGAGGACTGTGGCCATTACCTAGCTGTCAGTCTGAAAAGAGCAACAGATGGCTGAGGAATAATTTATCAAATGAATCACTCTCATATTGTTTTTTAAAGCTTTTTAAACACATTTCTTCTTAACTGGGAATTACTATGTTCTCCGGAGGCTGGAAAGATGATTGCTTCCTGACAAGGCTTTTTAAAAGGCAAATACAACTAAATGAAACATGGTTCTTACACGTCAGAGAAGATGTGGTCCAGCTCCGATCGTGGGCAGATGTTGTTCAGGAACATGTTGTAGACCTCTGGGGTGAAATCTTCCTGGGGGATGGAGTCATTCTGCAGCAGACATCAGCAACATGATCACACACAGTACATTATGCATACAGGTACACACTGTACATACAAATTATAGGGCAGCAGGTGACCTAGTGGGTAGAGACACTGTAAGAACTAAAAATGTCTAGCATGTGGGCAATGCAAGAACATTTTCGTATTCTTCTACTAAATCGCTCTTAGTGTCTGAGACTTGCGTAGAAGCGCTTTGGTAGGAAGTTGGATTCAGCAAACAGTCATAACTGCACAAGATGGATCTTTTTATTCTTTGTTATCAAGTCAATTTTATTTATATAGTACAAGATCACAAACTTGACTCAAGGGGCTTCACAATCTGTACAGTATATGACACCCTCTATGCTTAGAACCTCGATTCAAAGGCAGACTATCTGCACATGACTCGTCCAGCAGGCCTGGACCACCAGAAAATACTATAATACTAATTTGTGAATGGGACAGATTGTGCCAATGTGTCTATGAACAAGACATGTACTTTATGATGTGGGATGTCCTATAGCTGACCCCAACCTCTGGTCTCCCGCTTGAAGTGATTACACATGCATACATTTCAAAAGCAAATAATTAACAAATGATGACTGCTAGGAATTTGCACCCTGACTTAAACAGAAATGCTGTGGCCACAAGGGCTCCTTATAGAGCTATCAGAGCCACACAGCTCTGATAAAGACACAATGCGCTCAGCAGCAGGCAATAGCAGTGTGCCAGCAAGAAACAGAGCAGAACCAAACACTCTTACAAAGGAGCGAGAGAAAAGAAAATGAGGAAGGATGCACTGAAGTCGGGGGGTGCAGGTCAAGCCCAGCCGAAACTCAATAACTCATTCTAAAGACCTTGGTGCGAGCTACGCTGTGGATGTGCTTTTGCCTATGAGTGTGTGTGTTTGAGGGATTAACAGCACTATCGTTTAGCTGTAATTACTTGCGCGTTGGAACAACAGCAAATCCCACCAGACCTTCATACAGCAACACGTTTTTTTTACCTCCTGCTCTCTCTCCCTGTGCTAATTATGTATAGCTTGTTCTGTGTGTGTGTCTGTTTGTATTTCAGTGTGTGTGTGTGTGTGTATGTGTTAGTTCAGATTGTATTCAGAAGCCATTCATTAAAGCTATAATGTGTCTGCCCTACTGCATGTGCATATGTTTTGGCATGTGTTCATAACCATATTAAGCAGAATTTTCCCACTTCGAAACATGCAAATTGCTTGCTACTGCTATAATACAGAGATTGTTTGCTTTGTTGGGGGAGTGTTTACACCTCAATGCATGAGGGGACAGCTTTTCTCTAGTGATATCTGAGAGAGGTAAAGATAAAACAGCTTATGTCATCTCTATTTCTCTCACTGCATCTATTTGTTTCATTACAACCAAGGCTAAATCAGTTCTGAGTGGGAAGTCATGCAGACATCCAGAAAATAAGGCTCCAAACAAATGATCAAAGCAGCAATTAGCTGCTGTTTCGGGAGAATAAAGAATGAGCTGAATGGTGACAGGATAGACTGATGGATGGATGGAGAAGATGAAAGAGCTAGGAGACTAAAATAAGAAAGAGAGGCAGAGAAGGAGGGACACAGACAGGAGCAGGTTCAGAGATGGAGGAAATGTGAGGAGACAGTAACACTGAAAAAGGAGGGGGCTTCAGTATTTTGGTGTCTCACTCTGCCAGAAGGGAGGTTACAGTTTTCCAGG